TAATATAAAGTATTAATCATAATTAATAAACTCTATTCATATTCCATAAATATTCAAATCATAATAAATGAACTCCAATCATTTCTATAAATATCTCAATCAATTGGGTTGCAAAGGTTGTAAAAGAAATATACCCTATATATATATATATATATATATATATATATATATATATAAATGAATGAATTGTAGATATTTTTAGAACCAAATATTCATGATGCATATTCAATAATGTTATTTATTATAAATATAATGCATTTTTCATTCATGAAGATTATCGTATATTTTGATGATATCTATATAATCAATACTTGGTTTTTACTCTTAAAAGAATTTCAATTCTCAAAAGAATACTCTCTCTATGTATATATCTACACAACATACAATATATAAGCATATATATATATATATATATATATATATATACATGACATGGGGAGTTTTTCTTCAGAAAAGTTGTTTTCGTATGGGATGATGCATCATCTTAATTAAAGACATTTCTTATTTGTTTAATTATATGTGTGTGTGTATATATATATATATATATGTGGATAGTAGAATATATACCTCTAGCTACCTCAGCAATCTTCCTATATAAAACCTCCACTCCCCTATGAATTTCTCCAAACATTCTTATTCGTTCTTCCCTTCAATTCCTCAAAGAAAACTTAACCATGTCTGGTGTTTGGGTGTTCAAGAATGGCGTGGTTAGACTGGTGGAGAACCCTGGTGCTGGCTCCTTGCAAGGTGCATCTCGTGGCAAGGTGCTGGTGCACCTCCCCACCAACGAAGTCGTTACTTCCTACCAGGTTCTCGAACAAATGCTGACGTCCATCGGATGGGAAAGGTACTACGACGATCCACAACTTTTCCAGTTTCATAAAAGATCCACGGTTCATCTCATATCTCTGCCTAAAGACTTTAAGAAGCTCAAATCCATGCATATGTATGATATCGTGGTCAAGAATCGCAATGTGTTTGAAGTTAGGGATTCGTGATTACTTATAAGTACTGTTTAACGATAGTGATTTTGATCATGATGATCATGCATCCATGGTTAGTTGGCTGGTTCTTCGATTTTTATTTTCCTTTTTGTAAGATGTGTGTGTTCTTCTGTGGTTGTGATGTGTCAGAAATTTGATTATTCCTGTTATGATTGCACATGATAATGAAGGGTTTGTTTGTTTGGTTTTCAAGAGTTTGTACAAGTTCAGTTCTTTTGGTGATTGATCGAAAGTATTCCTTTATCAAGATTCCTTGGGTTGGACCATTTGATATACAGTAACCATTTGAATGCATGCAGACAGCTTCAAATTAAGCTTCCATGATCTCCCCTCTCTCTCTCTCTCTCTCTCTCTCTCTCTATATATATATATATATATATTATTGAAAGAAAGATTGAAGAGAGGACCATTTGCAAGGTGTTCTTTAACTATGTTATGTCATGATCATTTGGGCTATGGCTGAGTCAGAGTGGGGTTATGGGAAGAAAAACACACACATATATATAGTTGAGTTATTATACAACTCTTTACATTTATACAATCAATACAATTTAATCTCAACCGTCTATTTAGTTTGATAAATATGTGATTTCATAGAAGTTTTGATTGTTTCCTAATAAAGTATTAATCATAATTAATGAACCTTAGTCATATTCCATAAATATTCAAATCATAATAAATGAACTCTCATCATTTCTATAAATATCTCAACTGATTGGGTTGCATTGGTTGTAAAAATGAACATGATTGTATTTGAAATATACCCTATACATACATATATATATATATATATATAGAGAGAGAGAGAGAGAGAGAGAGAGGTTTAGGTTTAAATGAGAAGTTAAACATTTTTTTAGAAGACGAGAAATTTCAATATCTTATATGATTACATGCAGGATATACAAGTTTAATCGTATATGATTAAATAGATGTTGCATTGATAGCATATAGATGACATACTCAAAAAGTGTAATCATATATATGATATTAAGACTTCTTGTCTTCTTGCAAAATGTTTAACTTCTCGCATGATATTTCCTCTCTATATATTATATGTATATCAAGGTTCAAAATAGCGTGTGACATGGTGTGGCATGAGGCCAAGCCTCAAGCCTTGGAAGCCAGGACGAGGCCAAAGCGTTTTTCTAAGACATGACTTATGGTGACAAATCTTTATATCATATATAGTTTTATATTCATAAACATATGTTTTCTACCATTACTCAATAACTCAATGATAATAAACAATTTAAATTAAGTTACATATTATAAACTAACAAATAAGACATTAAAAGATATATAAAATTAAATATCGTGTTACAAAAACCGCGCCTTATGTTATGACGTGCCTCTGACTTAACGGGGTGTGAGACACGATACTTAAGTCACAGAGTGCCATAACAGCTATTCCAGAAAGCCTTTTCGGACACTGATGCATATATACATATACACTACTACTAATTTACACACAATACACCATTCACACACAAGGATTTTATTAAAAGAGCATAGGTAGGAAGGCTTGTGGTCCCTCGGTCGTAATCCTACAATGATTGCAAAAGAATGACAATGGAGATAACCATGCAAAAAGTAATTGAAAAGAGAAAAGAAGAAAGAAAAAGAATCAAGAGTCCAATCAAATATATGCTTCAACTTCCATATACATATACATATACATATACATATACATATACATATACATATACATATACATATACATATACATATACAAGAATCAAGTGGCATGAGACATAACGTAACAGTAATATGAACTTCAAGTTTGAGAGGCCATGCGAAGTCAAGACCTTTTTTAAGGTATGGCTTGAAATGACAAGAATGTGTATAAATACAGGAGAGTTCAAATGCGAACGTTAAAAATTATTAAAAACATCTAAACAGATCTAAACCGTTATATCATTTTAATCATATGAACCTAATTAATATTCCTTATATCTACCCATTTAAGGGTATTGAGTAAAATTGTCTTATAATTTATTTAAAGATTATTATTAACTCCATTGATAAGGATAATTCTCTACCATGATTCATGCTTAAATCGAGGATAACAATCCTTGATTTTGATCATTTGTATTATTATTGTAATATCTCATTTTTTTAGAATTATTCTTGTGAATATTTTTTCATTAATTAGTTTTAATTAGATTGATTTGTATAAATAACCTCCATTGTGTTAATATTATTGTAAGAAGTCTTAACCACAAGGGTGGTGCCTGATTGGTTTGAGCTTGACTCCAAAAGTCAAAAGTACCATACGGTCTCAAGTTCAAATCCAAGGAGGAACAAAAATCCCCTTGTGGCCACGGAGGTTCAAATGTGGTGACTCCGGGCTATCTGCAAAGCAGGTGGTCGCCTGAGATTAGTCGGCTCGTATAGCGGGTTTGATATACAGATTAATAAAAAAAATCAAGAAATCTTTCTTCTCTTATATGGTATCAGAGCCCCGATCAATTTTTTCCCCTTTCTTCTCAACTAATTTCTCATCATAACAAACAACGGCAACACCATTCATAATTCCTATGAAGTATGAACCTTCAAAACCTTTTATTGTAATTAACTTCTCTAACGTCATCAAACTTTCTCCTACCAACTATACATATGAAGCATATATCATTTTGAAGGCTATATTTTTTAGTGCAACTTGTTTAATGATCATTCATGAAACTACATAAACACATCGTGTGGCAAGAATAATTTGACTAATGCTTCACATATGAATAATTATTAATTTGATGAATATGCTTGAAATATCAAGTGTTTCCAATTCATGGAAGTGCTTGAAAGTTTTTGATTAACGTTTCACTGTGTTATCATTTTCTAGAAAATGGTTGAAGAAAATTAATTAATGCTAGCTTCACATATGAAATTGTGTAGTCGCTTCATGAAAATGCTTGAAATCTTCATGAAACTACATAAACACAACACTTGGCAACAAAGAATAATTTGATTAGTGTTTCATGCACAAAGCTGTGTTTTAACTTGTATATGAAATCAAGTATGCATCATCTATATATATATATATATATATATATATATATATACTCACACACAAACACACACACACACACACTTGATACATGCTACTTCATAGACACAGACAACCTTTGGCGCGACCTAAGTCGTAAAACACGCAGTGCGCACATCATATGGTCCTATCATGCATATTATCACATGTGATAAGGGTGTTCTTGCGTTCTCGTAAATTAAAATAGAGGTGTTCTCGTTTGAACCTCCACCTATATATATATATATATATATATATATACTCACACACACACACACTTGATGTATGCTATTTAGGAGATTGTGTTTGGTTGTGTTCAAGTAATTTAAGCCCCAATTGACATACACATCAAGGGAGAACATTGACTCAGAACTGGAGTAGAAGAAAGGAGAGAACCTGATTCACAAGACGAATGAGATCTGCAGTAAATCAAAGATCAAGATGAGATGGGTGTTTTGTATTTATGGTTTCAACTAGATCATCCCTGATCCAGTTATTTACGGACTGTTTCGTTGGCTATGAATTATGCTATTCAAAGTTGTACGTCTGAATCGCTCAGATGTGCGTAGACTATTTGGTTACATACGGCTTTTAATTCTTTCCCTTTCCCGCTGATCATTTGTCGGTGAAGCCTATTTGTTTTGTAGTGTTAATAACAATATTTTGTAGCTGAGGAAAAGCCTCGGAGCGGAGACTACAAAAGGGTGTGAAGAGTGTTCGAAAAGAAGGGTATGTAGCTAGGGTTTCTGATTGTTTGATTAGAGATGGAAACACCACTTTTCAGATTGGTATATATAGCATCGAGAGAGGGTTTTTGCATGCGAGAGATAATGAAGAAAGGGGAACAGGAGGAGGAGGAGGATGGTGGCCATTAACACATTATATCTTCTTCATCCACAATCATATCACATCTTCTTTTGGTACTTGAATTAGATCAACTCTTACTTTATGAATTGGGGTAAGGTTTTGAGGGTGTTTGGGATTGATAATAAAAATAACTTGTTGACTTATCCGGTGTGACACAGGTAATGAACACTTTTGAGTGTTTGGATAAATAACTTATACCGGTGCCAAACCGGTAATAAGAAGTTTTTTGAAAAAGTTAAACTTTTTTGACTTATAACAAGTTGATAAGTGTTTTTATAAAAAAATATAAGTTGTTTCAAATAAACAATACCAAACACCTCCTCTATATAACCAATTTGAAGAATTCATTGAGCACTTGTTTTGTTATTTGTTATTTGTTATTGGGCAATCTTAGATTGATTCTCAATGTACTTGTGATGCAAAAGGAAGGCTCATGTAATTCATCTATAAATTAATGGATATTTGTTTATATTTTCAATTTTTGTAGTTTAGATTTCTTAGGAAATGTGTTGATATATGTTATTTTGTATTTTTTGTAATTTATATTTGTAAAGTAATATAGTGGTTACAGAGGGTAAAATGGTAATTTTATATTATTCAAACTGTTTATTCAAAAAATGCACAAACATGCATTTTTAAGTCTGCACTAAAATATACAGAACCCTTAATTATTATGACCAATTAATCATTTTGTACCAAATAATTCAGCATCTACCAAACAACCCTTACTTAAATGTTTTCATTAATTTTGACCCTTGATGAAAAGCATCTAACAATAGAGATATATTTACATGTTTTCAACCTTTTTAGCATTCTCAATTATCTTTATCTATACTATAATAGGCGGTTTTGACTTCATATTTTTTATAATCACCTTCAACTTCCCTTTCCCAAAGCTCGATTGCTTCTCTTTCAAGGTAAGCTTCAACCATATGGGTTTCGACTATTGCTTATTGATTTATGGTATGTATCGATTTTTTCTTCTTTGTTTTTGACTCAATACATATCGACTCTTTATGGTTTCTTTGTCTGGTTCTTTGTCGGTTTACGTTTACTTCCCCAGAGCTCGATTGCTTCTCATCCTCAAATCTTGATTGCTTCTCTTTCAAGGTAAGCTTCAACCTTATGAGTGACTATATTACTTGACCATTGCTTCTGATCAATTTATGATTTGTACCGATTTAAACTCTAACATCAAGCACCTTAATTCAAAACCTAGGTTTATCCGGGAATTTGTTCATTCAGTTGTGATATTTTTGTTACAATCAACTTGCATTATAGGATGATATTTTCGTTACAAT